GCAACTCGCTTGATATGCGCTCTGCAAACTACCGACTTTGTCGTCAGTGTTGACACGGTCTAGGGTCTAGGGAGCTACCTGCAGACCTAGGGAGCTGCCTATACAGACCTATATAGAGAGCTACATGCCGACATAAAGGGCTATCTGCAGACCTAGGGGGCTGCCTATACAGACCTAGAGAGCTACATGCCGATATAAAGGGCTATCTGCAGACCAGAGCTACATGCAGACATAGGGAGCTGCTTGCAGACCGGCTGCAGACTAGAGACCTCCACTGCAGGGCGTGCAGGATTTAAACAGACTTCTCTGATGGCTTTGGTCACTCTGCAGAGACTTGAAAAACAACAATCTGAGACATCTGAGTCAGCAGAGTCTGTGTTTCCAGACTCTGAGTCAGCAGAGTCTGAATTTCTGGACTCTGAGTCAGCAGAGTCTGTATCTCCAGACTCTGAGTCTGCAGAGTCTGTATCTCCAGACTCTGAGTCTGCAGAGTCTGAATCTCCAGACTCTGAGTCTGCAGAGTCTGTATCTCTGCTTGATATGCGCTCTGCAAACTACCGACTTTGTCGTCAGTGTTGACACGGTCTAGGGTCTAGGGAGCTACCTGCAGACCTAGGGAGCTGCCTATTCAGACCTAGAGAGCTACATGCAAACCTATGGAGATGCTTGCAGACCTAGGGAGCTGCCTATACAGACCTAGAGGGAGCTGCTTGCAGACCCTGGGAGTAACCGGCTGACTAGTGACCTCTACTGCATGGCATGCAGGATCTATACAGACTCCTTTGATCACTCTGCAGACACTTGAAAAATAACAACCTAATACATCTCTGTCTGAGTCAGCAGAGTCTGTATCTCCAGACTCTGAGTCAGCAGAGTCTGGTTCTCCAGACTCTGAGTCAGCAGAGACTGTATCTCCAGACTCTGCAGAGTCTGTATCTCCAGACTCTGAGTCTGCAGAGTCTGTATCTCAAAACCAGTCAGCAGAGTCTGTATCAACAGACTCTGAGTCAGCAGAGCAGCAGAGTCTGTATCTCCAGACTCTGAGTCTGCAGAGCAGCAGAGTCTGTATCTCCAGACTCTGAATCAGCAGAGCAGCAGAGTCTGTATCAACAGACTCTGAGTCAGCAGAGTCTGTATCTCCAGACTCTGAGTCAGCAGAGCAGCAGAGTCTGTATCTCCAGACTCTGAATCAGCAGAGCAGCAGAGTCTGTATCAACAGACTCTGAGTCAGCAGAGTCTGTATCTCCAGACTCTGAGTCAGCAGAGCAGCAGAGTCTGTATCTCCAGACTCTGAATCAGCAGAGCAGCAGAGTCTGTATCAACAGACTCTGAGTCAGCAGAGTCTGTATCTCCAGACTCTGAGTCAGCAGAGCAGCAGAGTCTGTATCTCCAGACTCTGAATCAGCAGAGCAGCAGAGTCTGTATCAACAGACTCTGAGTCAGCAGAGTCTGTATCTCCAGACTCTGAGTCAGCAGAGCAGCAGAGTCTGTATCTCCAGACTCTGAATCAGNTAATACCTGTCTCTTATACACATCTAGATGTGTATAAGAGACAGCAACTCCCCACAATGACCACTACAAATCCCCACAATGACCACAACTCCCCACAATGACCACAACTCCCCGCAATGACCACAACTACCACAATGACCACAACAACTCCCCACAAAAAGCCTTGTTTGCGAGGGTCACTCGTTATTTCCCCTCGTTTCCCCTCGCCGGCCGCAGCTGGCGGCTGTCCCACCATGGTGGGGCGGGGGTGGTGGGGTTGTGATGACGCATCGCTTATATCATCACTTCATCATTGTCATGATGACATCACAACGCATTTATTGTTGCATCATACTATAAATTATTGCTGAGTATTATAGGTATATTATATGTATAGAGTATATTATATATACTCTATTATATGAACTCCATTTATTTTGAATTATGGAGGGTCAAGTCTGTATGAATGTCTTCCGGTTTATGTTAAAAACATTATGAATAATTAATAATATCAACAAGTATTTTCATATATCCTGCCGCTGATGAATTACTAAACTGTATATTACTTAATTAAGACTAAACCCGAATAAGTTATTAGTTTACGAGTTGTGTTATTACAAAATGTTTGTTATCTCGTAACTTTAATTAGGACATAACAAACCCTAATTGACTTGACATGACTGTAGGCACAATCAAATAATTTATTATAAATATGTACAATATACAATGGCCTATTTACATTAAGGTGCGACGTTGCCCACAAGAAAATGAAATCATACTTGCGTTTCAATTTTACTATACATTGAGAGTCGCGTATTTTTTATAAATCCGCGTAACTATTTTTCGGTGATAATTTTTTGTATGCCAGTATCATTCATTTTCATTTCCTTATACCGACAATTTTTATAGGTAAACCAAACCTTTATTTGAATGCCATGCCACAACCTTTTCTATGATGAATCATCCTTTTATTTTCTTTTACTAATAATTTTATCATAATTTACAACATGTCATTCTTTTATTTTCTTTCACTAATATTTTTATCATAATTTACAACATGTCATCCTTTTATTTTTCCTTTTATTTTCTCTCACTAATAATTTTATCCTAATTTACGACATGAAAAAGAGTAGCATCCCTCGCAGCGTCCATTGTAACAGTTGTCTAGAAGTGCTGCTATGGCTTTTTTATGGGGACTAAATCCCCTCGGCCTTAATCCCCTCACTGCCGAGCCGTTCAGTTGCTTTATCCGACATTCATCAACTGCCTTTGTATTCCCCTCACCATACCTCCCCTCACCATACCTCCCCTCACCATACCTCCCCTCACCATACCTCCCCTCACCATACCTCCCCTCACCATACCTCCCCTCACCATACCTCCCCTCACCNGAAAGGGGAGAGAGGGTAAGGCGGAGTCACTGAAGCGGAAGAAAATGGCGAATTAGCGCAAGCCCTCGGGCGAGGGGAGAAGAGAGGAGAGGTGAAGAGGGGAGGTAGGGAGGCGTGGGGCAGAATGGAGGTAGAGAGAGAGAGGGGAAGTAGAGAGAGGAGACGAGAGGGGAGGTAGAGAATTGAGGTAGGGAGGATGGGAGAGAGCGGAAATAGAGAGGGGAAGTAGGAGTTAGGGGAGGTGTAGAGGGGAGGCAGGGTGTGCTGTTGATGACATTAAGTGAAGTAAAACTAAATGCATAATCCTAATTAGAAATTACATCCGTGGCAGGGACGGCCGATCTCCTGACAATCACTCATATACATTAAATTACTGAAGGCGATACAGGATTAAAGCACTAAGATAGCGTTCATAATAACTCATAAGTGAAATCTTCAAACTCATAAGCGTTTTTTATTGTAGACATACTTAAACTAGATTATTATTTGCATTTAATGTGTACTTTTCAAATATTATTAATTTATCTCCTGTCAATAATGACGTCAGTATTATAACTATCGCCTAGAATGCCATTTAGTTATTTTTCTGGCAGACTATATCGCAATAATTTAAGATTTTCATCCGCCTTTTACCACTGAAATGTTGACATAAAATGTAAAATATTGCAACATCGGTCGACCATTCGAGATTTTGCATTAATTGCGTTCCTTTAATTTAATGAGATTACCTTTGCATGCCCTATATATTCATTATTTAATTTTGATTAACTTGAATTATTACGTCAACATTTTTCTTCTCCACCAACATCATTCCTTCATTATTTCTTCATCATCTTATTCATTTATTTCCTTCATAAAATTTTAATAATGACAACATATAAATACTACTCTGACTATACTTTTTGTGCTTGGCTGACGCATTTATTGCAACATCGTATTTTTGTGCTGACATCCTTCTAATGTACTTTAAGGCACCATACATCTTAATTATTAATGTACTAAGGCACCATGCATCGTACTAATGTACTAAGGCAACATATACATCCAATACCGTACTAATTTTTTATATGTACAAAGGCACCATACATCTTAATTACTAATGTACTAAGACACCATGTACTTCGTGCTTGTGTACTAAAGCCTCAAAATTCTCACTAATTACAATATCGCTGAAATTTCACACTCTTCCACGGTTAATGTTCACAGAATGTACGTCGCTATCAGTACCCGGCACCAAATAGCTCCCCCCCCCTGGCGGCTCCTCCAGCAAATAACTCAGGATGATTGCCGATCATTCCCTCAAACCCCTATCTTCCCCCTCCCCATCATCACATGACTCAAATCGATACAAAAACTGCATATAAATTCTTGCTTCATTCGTAAAGCTGCTATCATTAGCAATTAGCATTAGCATTAGCTGGCGCATTATAGTCAGATAACTTCATTTATTAGAAGAAATAAATCAATGGAATATTAATCTTGCAAGTATTAATCAATTAATAGTTAAGTGGCTCAGGTAGACTTTAAACAAACCAAAGCCTATTTCGGCTTCGTACCAATTTGCGTTCCAATGTGCAGGTTTTTATCGAGTAAGTTACCTATACCATCGCCCGCATATAATACATGTGACATTAAAATTAATCTAAACAAGGCATGAAAAACGGCAAGCAATTCCATAAAAAAACTAGTATTTGCTAATGAATTGCATGAAGGATTAACAGGACTTAGACAAGTTTGTCAGTTGGGACATATAAGGCAGGTTCATTTCTGGACGACATGAGCTAGCTTGCTCCTGAACATCAGTTGTTGCGCCAGCAGTGATGCCAGCAATTGGCAGCGCGTGCCTCATGCTCCTGAACATCAGTTGTTGCGCCAGCAGTAATGCCAGCAATTGGCAGCGCGTGCCTCCTGCTCCTGAACATCAGTTGTTGCGCCAGCAGTGATGCCAGCAATGGGCAGTGCGTGCCTCCTGCTCCTGAACATCAGTTGTTGCGCCAGGAGTGATGCCAGCAATTGGCAGCGCGTGCCTCCTGCTCCTGAACATCAGTTGTTCCGGTACGATCACTCGGTACGATAATTATATATAATATAAGGTGTTTAGCTTCATATTGTACTCACGCTGGGGATGTTGTCGTTGTTGCACACGCCCTCGGACAGAAGTCTGTCCCTGATCTCCCACGCGAAGATGGACGGACACTCACGCTTGTACTCGGCCACCTTGCTCACCACGCTGGGGGTGGCCACGCGCGGCTTGCTGCCGCCGATGGCCCGTGGCTTGATGGAACCGGTCTCGTAGTATCTGTGGGCGACACATACGTGCACTTTAATGCCGTATAATTATATCATACGGCGTATATTATATAGCCTGGGCCTGCTGCATCAGAAATATATGCTAAGGATACTAAGGATCTAAATTGTTTGTGAACGGAGGCATGTTTGGAACAGTGTTAAAATGAGAGGAGAGTGCAATAAACTTTATTATGTTTTCGAAGTGTTAGTTAAAGATTAAGGATGATGGGATAGTGCAAGAAATTGTATTATATTTTGAAATGCGTTCGAGAGCTTTTCCGCTTTTCCAAGTTAGAACAATACCTAAGATAGCTATAGGCTATTGCGACAAGAAACTTTTTGTTCAATTTGTATACGCATGTCACTAATGAACTCTATAAATTAAACTATTTCGAAATGAACTCCGTTACAAAATTTTTGGTTTGGGTGATCTCTGATACGCGTTCGTCGCATATTTTAAGAATGCTTGACGTATTACCGAACTCATCACCCACCTTGCGAGTATCTTTGACATGCATCCGTTGGACACATAAAGTGTGCATGATGTATAATCTAACTCATCACCCACCTTGCGAGTATCTTTGACACGCATCCGTTGGACACTTGAAGTATGCGTGATATATCGCAGGACCGCACGCCCGAGTGCGCCATTTCGACGATCTTGTGTCGCACGTGGTCCGGAAGAGGTCGTCCGTTCACGTACATTCCGCCCAGCTGGTTAACACCTGTTCCACCTGTGCACGAGACGCCAGATGGTTAACACCTGTTCCACCTGTGCACGAGACGCCAGATGGTTAACACCTGTTCCACCTGTGCACGAGACGGAGTCAGGTATATACAAAACATATCAGTAAAATTATTTGTTCGTATCATGAAGCTTGTTGACAAGACGGAGTCATGTATAAAATATAACGTTTTTTTTGTTCGTATATCATGATGTTTGTTGACATTGGACCAGCTGTGAGCAAGACTCCAGATGGTTGCTATAAATAAAAATTATTCTCAGTTATGCATATCCGTTACTCACAGGTGGATCATCTGTTTACACATTGTTAGATGGTTATCCATTGCAACCATCATCTGAGCTTACGTTTATTAAATTAATGCAAATTTAACCAGTAGTTGAATGCTATAAGATAGCCGTGGAAATAAGACATTATTTTTCATTGAAAATGTTCCGGATTTCAGCGCAATCAAGTATTTTTCAACTGATTTAACTTGGTAGATTTTAGAAACTTAACAGGGAATTGAAATAAGAAGTTTAAAAAATTCAATAATTACAGACAAATCTATCGTCTCTTGGTAAATGTTTTAAGCGGGTGCGACTTTAATGACAGCAATCAAACTAGGCTTATTTTTTCAACTAGTTAAAAATTATAGAATATGCAAGTCGATACACCGGTTGTGTACACTACAATTTCAAAATTACTATCGGACCCCAGAACTTTGAGCAGCAGATCGTTAATGTACATTGCAGAAGAGGGGGACGCGCGAGGGAGTTTCCGGTACGACAATTCGTACCTTTATGCTCGGCCAATCTAAAATAAAAGTTGCTTTATATATTGCCATTGTGTCGTACGTTGATTTGTACGGTTATATGTACGACTTCTTGACTTACTAACTCTACCCTGTCCCGGCTGTCTCTTTCTGCTAATGCTCACATTGCCTTCCCTTCTTGCTCATCATATTACCTTTTCTTCTGTCCGCTCTCTTTGCTTTTCCCTCATCTTTATCTCGCTCTCTTTCCCTCAGTCCTCTTTTCTCACTCATCTTTCTTCACTCCGTCTCCGTCTCTTCCTTTTAGCACTCACACTTTGCAAGAGTTTACCTCCCATTTATCTTCTCACAAATTTTTTGTTTTTACCATTTCTTTAATTCTTCCGTCCTCTAATCCCTTCAATCTCCCTCACGTCACTCCAATTTTAATTATTTCCCTTTTTCTCATAAATTTCACTCTCTCTCTCTCCGACAACCTCTCATTATTTTCCCGACATTCTGTTCTACATTTTTCTATATTTTATTTCTTCTCATTATTCCTTCATTCATTCCCGCCCTCGATGTCCCGCATTCTTGCCTCACTCACCAACTTAATCAGCATTTATCAATATTCTGGGTTCCATTGTTACCATACAGCCTTCAGGTTCCCTCAACTCCCCTCAACTCATTTAACCCAAACGTTCCCCTCAAACCCCCTCATCCCACTCCCCTCGCCCCGCCGCCCTAGCTCCATTCCCTTCACTCTGTTCCCCTTGCCCCACCTCGCCCCACTCCCCACATTTCCCCTCACCACTTCCCTTCTAATCCCTCACGCCGCAGCCCGCAGCGCAGCCTCCCCTCAGTTGCTGTTAAATCCTTCCCTCACTTCTTGGTGACGTCACGAGGGATACAATCAAAGCCCGGTACTCGCAAAATTGTAGAATATTAACTTTCTTATTTGAAAATGATCAATAATACATAATTTGTTCAAAGAAAACATTAGTTGTTTGTTAAATAGTTTTTCTCTTTGGTAATTCATTATTTTTTATTGAGGACAAATTTTTATTAGTTTTTGCTAAGTTGAGACCGAGCGAAGATTATTTCAATGAAATTCTGAAAAAAATGGATGTGACGAAATTATTTCGGTTTTCACTGTCGAATTGTACTCATATCTATTATGGAAAGAAGGCATTAACAGAGAACATCAACAGAGGGCATCAACAGAGGCATCAACAGAGGGCATCAACAGAGGCATCAACAGAGGGCAAGGGCTGGACAGTTATTTTTATTAGACGCCTCTTAGACGAGGCTTTTTGGGGCAGGCCAGTCGCCAAATAATGTGTGATGATTATGATAATTGAAAACTATCAGGTTAATTGATGACGTCGATGATAATTGAAAACAATAGAGAGAAATGATAATTGATCCCAATAATAGACGAATAGATGAAAGTAATTAATTTGTACAACGATCACGTCTGTTGAGAATTTTCTATTCTTCACTAAATATTCAAACCAGATTTCTCTGCTGTACTCATTTCCTACTTCGGTTAATATTATATTGATTCTATTTCTCTGCATTGTCTGTGTCAACCTGCTCGTCATTTTCAAGTCACGACTTTCATCTTTTTCTTCTTCACTTTCTCACATCTATAAGCCATTTTTTCCCTCCCTTCCCTTCCTAATTCACCACTCTTTTTTCGAGCACTTCTATCACTTTCACTCAAGAGTGACAAATGTCACTCTCACTCAATCCCTTTTAATTATTGCCGTTTTTATACGATTCAAGTCACTCCTATGACACGGCACCATATTATAATTCTCTGTTCCCTTTCTCAAACTCTCTCTTCCCTTTCCCTCTCTCTTCACCTTTACTCTCTCTCTCTCTCTCTCTCTTTCTTCCCTTTCCCTCTCTCTTCCCTTTCTCTCTCTCTATATTTCTTCCCTTTTTCTCTCTCTCTTTTCCCTTTCCCTCTCTCTTCCCTTTCCCTCTCTCTTCCCTTTCCCTCTCTCCTCCCTTTCTCTCACTTCCCTCGCTCTCCCCTCTCTCTCTCTCTCCACCACCCTCCCCTCAAAGGCAACTCGGAGTCGCGCATTTCAGACGCTGTTTCCGCGCGGCCAATGTATCGTTAAAAGCGCAGGGGCGCGCGGCCAGCCAGAGAAAAGTTAACCCCTTGTCTGTTTAACACCAAAGATAATTCGTCCAGGGCGGCGTATGCTGGAAGTAAGCTTTACCCAAATTTAGGTAAGCACGCTGGAAGGTAAGTACCCTGGAGAGCTTAGCTGCCTATGAAGTCAAGTGTTCAAAGCCATAGAACCGTATGTCCACAGGCACCACTTAAGCATGATAAGCATGCATGTTCATGGTGCATCTGGCCTAGCCTACTCCGGCCCAACATACTCCGGCCTAACCTACTCTGGCCTAACCTACTCCGGCCCAACCTACTCTGGCCTAGCCTACTCCGGCCCAACATACTCCGGCCTAACCTACTCCGGCCCAACCTTCTCAGGCTTGGCCTATTCCGGCCTAACCTTCTCCTGCCTAACCTATCCCGGGCTAACCTACTGCGGCCTAACCTCTTCTGAACTAATCTACTCACATTGCCACTTTCTTTTCGGTTTCTTTGCCAAAAAGAAACCTGAGTTGACCAAACCTAACTTTTTTGGCTGCATGAAGTTAGGGAGGCGAGGCAAATGAGCACGTAGAGGCAGTCGTTGGCTTTAGGGAGATGGAGAGACGAAGCAGCGTGAATAGTTAGGCCGGGTTAGTAAAGGCCGGGTGCAGAACTACATGCTTATGAGCGAGTATGCTTAAATATGAAATAGTAAATACATTACTGGTCGTTATTACCCCGTTCCATCGTAGTCTGGGGATCCTAGCTCGAAGGTTGAGTTCAGTTATTGCACGTTGAGGCTCGACGTTGGCTATAGGGCTTATTAAGCGTTAAATTTTTGGCCCATGGCTGTACCACGTCCATGACACAAGAGCGGCCGATGCAATACTCACAATAGCGGTACAGTCTTGAGTTTATTGAAGTGTGCATGAGGCTAGCGAAGCATCACTCACCTCTCTGCAACTAACCTTGATGGGTATCGTGAGTAGCAAGCTGTGGATACTCATAGGACGCCGAGAGCTTGGCAGGCAGCGACAGGGATGCGGCGTACACAGACTGCGCTGTGGGCCCACCCAAAAATGCTACAGCCATTCATCAAAAAATTTGCGAATATTTCGACATTCTTTCTTCGGATTACAGTTATGAATTTTGTTAATATTTCGACATTTCTGCTCTGGATAATAGTTATGAACTAAATCTTGAATTAGTGGAAACAAATTGAGTTAATTTCCATTAGCTTGCAAGTATGCTCCAGACTTATCTGGTATTGGATTTAGTTCTCTTGTACAAGAAACATTGAAGAAAGTTATTAATCGTACCTTAATTGACATTGCACATTGGTCTGGCCCAGATCAAACCGCTAGCTCGTATGAAAATATATCCGATTCGATTCAGTTACGCCTAATACGTAAAAAAAACTTCCTCGTGCAAATATTCTTTTACAACAAAACTTAAATTTCATACAATTGGAGGAAGAATCTACTGATATTATTTTAATTGCACCTTGCAAGGACCCAAGATGGCGGATCTCACCTTTGTGGGGCATGGCGAAGACGGTGCTGCATGGGTCAGGGCGCGCGATGCTCCCGGCCGTGGAGCTGCAACAATAAAATAAGGAGAACATTATGAGGATAACTTGGGGTTGATATGCAAGATAAAAATGCAAGATAAGACAAAACACAATAAAACGAGGAGAACATTATGAAGATAACCTGCGGTTGATATGCAAGATAAGACAAAACTAATAAAATGAGTAATTAAACGAAAATAAATGAGTAATTGTCCGAATGGTGGCACAGCTTCTTACCATTACCAGCACAAACAGAAAGCGGCGGACTTAGCACCGACCATAACAAAATTTGGATGCGAGATCGATTCTGCAACAGGTGCCGCCCAGGTCTCGGGAAATTCTCAAATCAGCCGCTCTAAATGTCCTATTCGGCCAGGGTAGAAGTACAGTCTCTAAAACGCTTGCAAGTTCAAAATGTTTCCGTTTCGGCCAACCCTTGTCTCTCTCGGAAAAGAAATTCTGACTGGAAGCTGTTTTCAATTGGGTAGCCAAAACGACCAGAATAACTCTAAGCTGAGTGCTGCAATTGTTGTGCAGAAATTTAAGCGTTACCCGATTTTTGTTAAGGGCTACGTTCTATTGCCGGAACTAACTGGGTCAGGATGACCCGCATTAGGCCGGGAAATGCATCGCTATTTGGATAAAATATTGGTAAAAATATTAGCTAACAACTGCAAGTCTATCGGGGATGAGAATCTAAATGGAATTACATCAGGAACATAGATGAGAAGATAGTCAGGGTTATTAACGATTAATTTATGAGAAAAAATCAATCCAGGTCTAACATCAAAATCGTAAAATTATTACATTTTTCAATTCATTATTACGATTTTCAATCCAATCAGAGTTAACAGAAAGTGCGGAAGTTTCTTCCCATAAAGTTAATAAAATCAGTAATTACTTGTTTGCCATAGGCATATTTTCTCTTAACAGCTATCCTTAAAAATTATAAATGAATTAAATACGACTTGAAGAAAAATCGTATACGCAGAAGACGACTGGAATAAAAAACCCTGGAAGTAGAAAAAATGGGAGAAAAAAGCATAGAAGAATCGCTTCCTCTGATCAGTTTTTGAAAGAGTGGGCGAATATCCCCAGCCTCGCCTGCAGATGTCATGAACACAGACGACCAGATACTGCAGGCGCGTGGCATCTCCGCCTGCTTCGCGACCATGTGCAGGTGAGACTNGTGAGACTATATAGTGTGGTTCTGCTAGTGAGACCAGGTTGGTGACGCTAGTGAGATATAGGTTGCCTGGTACGACGCTATAGTGAGACTAGGTTGGTGACGCTAGTGAGACATAGGTTGCCAGGTACGACGCTAGTGAGACTAGGTTGCCTGGTACGACGCTAGTGAGACTAGGTTGGTGACGCTAGTGAGACATTGGTTACCTGGTACGACGCTAGTGTAACTAGGTTGGAGACGCTAGTGAGACATAGCTTGCCTGGGAGGAAGCTATAGTGAGACTAGGTTGGAGACGCTAGTGAGACATAGGTTTCCTGGTGTGTATCTAGTAAGGCTAGCTTGCCTGGTGTGAGACTAGGTACGGTCTTACGTGAGGGCGATACACGACCGCACCTAATTAAGTGATCACGTGACCAAAACGTGCAGCAAACAAGGGGGGTTAATTATCAATTACCTGCTGCAGGTTGTGTTCAACCTGTTCATCCAATACACGACGTCTCATGCACGACGCTATAAGCCAATACACGACGTCTCATGCACGACGCTATAAGCCAATACACGACGTCTCATGCACGACGCTATAAGCCAATACACGACGCTATAAGCCAATACACGGCGCCTCATACACGACGCTATAAGCCAATACACGACGCTATAAGCCAATCAGTATTCATAGGAAGCGGCCGCTAATCACCATTGCCTTTAATTCATCAAGTCTAGCCAGCGTATGCCAGAGCCAGAACAAAAACAGCGACTTATGCCGCGCTTGGCCGTATGGAAATTACTGCTTCTCGAATACCGGATCAAAAGCTCATGCAAATTTTCATGTCGCTTGCAAATGTACAGCGGAAGCAGCCTGCCGGTGGCTATTGGATCCCTGGGCCAATCGCTGGTGATGGTGGGTTGTGGCTACTGTGGCCAGTGCACGAGTTTAACTGATTGGCGAACCAATCATGTGAATAACTTGTGATAAATTACAATGAATCATGCACCACGTTTCAGACGGGATTTATTTAAACAGATAAATTGTAGTTATATTACAGATATTTATGATTACCGGTAATCGGTTTGTGATATAATATAATGGCTGTGATTTATCGGTCAATGATTATTGGCGGGCTTTTTTAAAATTACTTATTTACATTTTCATAAATTCTTGTTGAAAAAAGTACCATTAAACGTGATCTATTCATGTAATTGCTCAGATTTCGGGATCAATAGCAAAAATTAAAGTCATGAAAATAGCTAGCAAAACTAATTTTTTAATTCTTACCAGTATACGTCAATAGCATAATAATCAATTTTTCTTTACCGTTCTATCATATCAAAAGGAAATATAAATAGCTAGCCGGTTACAAAAAAAAAACATTCACATTAAAATATCAAGAAAGGTTGCAAAATAACTCTTCATGATTTGGAAATAACAAAAAGCCTATGGACAATAGCGATGCTTCCGCATAAGTCAATATGGCATAAACAAGTGACGTAAAGGCACATCTAGCCGTGGCAAATGTGGCACGGTGGCAGCGTGTGGCAACTGTGGCGTGCGGAAATGGCCTGCCACGGCGACAATGGCGCGGACTCTTTTAGAATTCCGGAGACGGCGTGAGCAGAGCTGAGTATTCTGCTCAGCTGCTGCTGTGTTGTGTCTGCTCACACAGCGTAACTGTGTGGACTGTGTTGTGTCTGCTCACACAGCGTAACTGTGTGGACTGTGTTGTGTCTGCTCACACAGCGTAACTGTGTGGACTGTGTTGTGTCTGCTCACACAGCGTAACTGTGTGGACTGTGTTGTGTCTGCTCACACAGCGTAACTGTGTGGACTGTGTTGTGTCTGCTCACACAGCGTAACTGTGTGGACTGTGTTGTGTCTGCTCACACAGCGTAACTGTGTGGACTGTGTTGTGTCTGCTCACACAGCGTAACTGTGTGGACTGTGTTGTGTCTGCTCACACAGCGTAACTGTGTGGACTGTGTTGTGTCTGCTCACACAGCGTAACTGTGTGGACTGTGTTGTGTCTGCTCACACAGCGTAACTGTGTGGACTGTGTTGTGTCTGCTCACACAGCGTAACTGTGTGGACTGTGTTGTGTCTGCTCACACAGCGTAACTGTGTGGACTGTGTTGTGTCTGCTCACACAGCGTAACTGTGTGGACTGTGTTGTGTCTGCTCACACAGCGTAACTGTGTGGACTGTGTTGTGTCTGCTCACACAGCGTAACTGTGTGGACTGTGTTGTGTCTGCTCACACAGCGTAACTGTGTGGACTGTGTTGTGTCTGCTCACACAGCGTAACTGTGTGGACTGTGTTGTGTCTGCTCACACAGCGTAACTGTGTGGACTGTGTTGTGTCTGCTCACACAGCGTAACTGTGTGGACTGTGTTGTGTCTGCTCACACAGCGTAACTGTGTGGACTGTGTTGTGTCTGCTCACACAGCGTAACTGTGTGGACTGTGTTGTGTCTGCTCACACAGCGTAACTGTGTGGACTGTGTTGTGTCTGCTCACACAGCGTAACTGTGTGGACTGTGTTGTGTCTGCTCACACAGCGTAACTGTGTGGACTGTGTTGTGTCTGCTCACACAGCGTAACTGTGTGGACTGTGTTGTGTCTGCTCACACAGCGTAACTGTGTGGACTGTGTTGTGTCTGCTCACACAGCGTNCATATAGATGTGTATAAGAGACAGATGTAATGTTGTAACAAATCAAGTATGTAATGTTGTAACAAATCAATTGCGACATGATGTGACTCATCAAGTGTGTCATGTTGTGACAAATCGATTATGTCATGTTGTGACAAATCAAGTGCGTCATGTTGTGACAAATCGATTATGTCATGTTTTGTCAAATCAAGAGTGTCATGTTGTGTCAAATCAAGTGTGTCATGTTGTGACAAATCGATTATGTCATGTTGTGACAAATCAAGTGTGTCATGTTGTGACAAATCAAGTGTGTCATGTTGTGACAAATCAAGTGTGTCATGTTGTGACAAATCAAGTGTGTCATGTTGAGACAAATCAAGTGTGTCATGTTGAGACAAATCAAGTGTTTCATGTTGAGACAAATCAAGTTTGTCATGTTGTGACAAATCAAGAGTGTCATGTTGTGGCAAATCAAGTGTGTCATGTTCTGTCTGCTTCGAATGCCTCTATAACTGCACGTTGTTTAAATGTCTACGAGCCATTTCTTTCGCCTTCTACTTTTATTGAAGGTAATTTTAAACTTATATAAATGTGGTGACATAACGGTACAGTTGCACAGTGTGTTGACGTTACGCATGATAACACTGTACCACTGCACCGCTGTATCGCTCCATTTTGTGGCGCAGTGTGGCGTGTGGCGCACCAAAGACGCTCCAAAAGACGCGCGCTCAAAACAAACAGACGAACGCCCACGGCAACGGCAGGGCTGCCTCCAAAATGGAGTGTGGAGTAAGGAGTGTGGAGCAAGGAGTGCGGAGTCAGGAGCATGGAGTGTGGAGTCAGGAGCATGGAGTGTGGAGCATGGAGTGTGGAGCATGGAGTGTGGAGCATGGAGTGTGGAGCATGGAGTGTGGAGCATGGAGTGTGGAGCATGGAGCATGGAGTGTGGAGTGTCGAGCATAGAGTGTGGGGTATGGGACATGCAAAGTGGGATGTGAAATTCACATTAATAATAGAAATTAAGCTATGTAGGCACGACCACACAAAGAAATCACACAAATATAATAATTAAGTAATTCAGAAAACGTGTTTTGAATACCATACCATATCCAGTTATCCTCAAAACGCGGCTGAAAAGTACCTCACAAACCACAGAAGTCTTCCAGTTATCCTCAAAACGCGTCTGCAAAGTACCTCACAAACCACTGAAGCCTTCCAGCTATCCTCAAAACGCGGCTGGAAAGTACCGTACAAACCACTGAAGTCTTCCAGTTATCCTCAAAACTCGACTAAAAAGTACCGTACAAACCACAGAAGCCTTCCAGTTATCCTCAAAACTCGTCTGAAAAGTACCGCACAAACCACAGAAGTCTTCCAGTTATCCTCAAAACGCGTCTGAAAAGTACTACTTTCGCGGACCAGAGGGAGTCTGAACGTTCAGATCGATACCCCAGGGGAGGGGCAGTGAGGCAGGTTTAAGTTTTAAACAAGGGGTAACAGTTGAAGTTAAGCTGCGGGCTGCACTTTAAAGTAAATAAGGGTGCCATGTTTTGAGAGGGGCTGCGCCAAAGGGAGAGGCAGCAGCAGCCATATGCCGCCCCTGTTGTTGTAGCTAACAGGCAACAGGGGCGATGCTTCTGTTGTTGATCGTATGAGAGAGGCTGAGAACCATGCGGGCTATCATGCTTCACATGGTCTTACCATAGACCGACATGGTTCTCATATTATCCTAGATGTTCGCTCAATGGATATCAATTCTCGACTCCATTAACATCATTAATGCT